TTAAATGTGAGGAGTGGTAAAAAGTTGAGTAAGAACTATTTATGCTTGATTGGTAGACTGAAAGAGACAGAGGGTGTTGAGCTACCATCCAAAAGAAGGCGACTCAACTTGGCTCAGCGACTATTATAACTTCACTCATACTCGATTAATCTCATCAACAAAACCAGGCGTACGAGATTACGTAGCCTCAGTCATGCCTTTCCGTGGGTGGATAAATCTCAGTGACCTTAGACTGATAGGTTAGGGCAGGTCCTTTCGCAACTTGACTTACACATTCACAAGCTTACATCTCATCATCTCAACCATACTTGCTTACGGACTTACTCAGTCTAAATTAGGGCTTTTTCTTGGATCAGTAAGCCTTGCTGATCGGAGCCTGATATTAGCCTTTTTTGATCACTCTGATTTATGACCGGTATTGCGTATAAACGTTAACACACACGCTCGAGCACAGTTAGCAGGACCAGCATAAAAGATAATTAGTATGAAATTGTATGAGAAGAGATTAGAAGGTCGATCTCACCAGAAGAGGGCGGTGCTGCAGCGTTTGGCTTTTATACGACGTTAAGATTGATGCAGTCTATGATACCTTTTTTTCAGGCGAAAATGGGCTGAGCTTTCGTCTATCATATGATGGCTTTAATCAGAGCTGGTACTCATCATTGTAAAATTCTTAAGTTGCATAAAGGCCAATGGGTGCACTACGACAGGATTTGACCGTATTCTTCTGGTGAGATCCACCTTAGAATATATTTTTCATACATTTTAATGAAAGTTTTTAAGATAATTAGCCAAACCATCTATATCTATCTATGTCTGTTCATTTTAGTTTTTATTTATGGGTATAAATAAAAGGTTAGATGGAGCCGGATATTCTTCTGGGCCTCGTGCTAATTTGAGGCTTTTACAAGAATAAGTTCCAGCTTTGATGATGTACATCATATGATGGACGAAAGCTCACTCCGTTTTTACCCTAAACAAGAGAGGAGGTTTATTGGACTGCGCCAACCGGTACGTTGTATTAAAGCCAAACGGCTGCAGTACAACGGAGATCAACAATCCTCTTCTGATGAGATCAACCTTCGAACCTCTTCTTAATGCATTAACATACGACAACATCCAACAAACTAAAAAGGAGTCATAGTAGATTGAGTAAACCAGAGGGAAAGTCTATATTTGACACTACAATTTCACGTTGTGTTCGCATACAGAATGTATTTACAGTCGGCTGCAAATAGACCGGAGTTCGGATTTGTAGCGAAGGAAGGAGAATATAAAGCTGCGATATGTAGTCCAAGGTTGTACAAATGACAGGTAATCACAAACGCTTAGGAATCAGACAAGTATGAACTGATAAGAGCTGTATTCGTCGTATTCTGCTTTAAATGATGAAAGACTGGTTGAACTTTCAAGTATTAGTCTGAGTAAGCCTTAAGTTTCGATTAAATTTTACAAAGTCTTGCTACCCAAAGGTATTCTCATTCAGACCAGAATGGACTGCAGTTTCGGTCTCGCCTAGTTCCTGCCAATTGCCCCAGTGGTACTCCAACCATGACAGCGCAACGTAGAATATTGACACATTACCTACTATGCCACTTTGACACGAGTGCTCTTGGGTCACACTGCAGATGAGGAATCCAAGGAAGACCAGGCATCTTACTATATTACATTCTTTAGTGAGACAATCGATAAAGCAATGTTGTATTTACCATTACTCAGTTTCGTTTGTAGGTTGGTTTCGATACGACCAGTATGGTAAATACAAATCTTATACACGATCTTTTGTTAGTCTCGCAACTCACAAACTACAATAAGTACGAATTAAGTCGCGGATGAATGGTCAGGACAGATTACGGTTGGTAGAAAAGAAAAAGCCAAGGATTTAGTAAAAAGATCTCAAGCGGAACATGAAATCCTATCCGGCGTGCATAAATGCGTGAGAACAGACATATTTAACAACATTCCAAGACTAAGTCCAACTACTGCACGAGCAAGAGATCGCCAGAGCTGTGCAAAACTTGAAGATGAGTTATCTATTCATCTGTAGAGTTTATGTGACAACGCAGAGAGAATTATTTAGCTCTTATGGGCTATGTTCAGAGGGATCGAGATTCATAGTACCAATAACACATACAATCTCTTGTCCTACATTCTACTCAGTCTTCAGGGATGCCAAACAAATAATCTCAATAATGACTTGAAAGGCCAGGAAAATTAACCCTTTGTATAGTGCTTTCGAATGTATACTAGGCATTTTCATGATATGAACGACTGTTCATCCCACTTTCTTAAATATGCATTTAATCGTGTAAAAGAAGAAATTTATTTAAAAAAATAACCGAATAAATGAAAATTGCAAATGCATGAAGTCTGTTGTTTTCCGTGCAGTTCAAAATTGCCAGCATATAATGTCTATCTTCGAATTTTAACATAAGCATCCAAGCAAAATAACGAAAGAATAAAAAAATTAGTTTATATGAAAGCTGGAAGCTATAAAGTTTATGTTCAAAGCCTTTTCTACTGTGAGGGAGCTTCGCCTTTCGGACGACAGAGTCCCCGACTAGATCCGCACGCGATGCTCACAAGCACCTTATTTAAAAAAGCCGCCATTATATTATATATCAACTCTTGCGTCTTGGTATTGCTGATACTCAGTAATCAGATCGAGGACATTGGACTCAGTTTCAACGAACTCGGCTTCGTCCAAGCCCTCGCCTGTGTACCAGTGGACAAAAGCCCTACGTTTGAACATGGCTGAATAGGCTTCCTGTACTCGCTTGAAGACCATTTGCAGAGAGGTTGTGTTGCCCAAGAAGGTGGCCGACATCTTCATGCCCTTTGGTGGAACGTCGCAGACGGCAGTCTGCATGTTGTTTGGTATCCATTCAACAAAGTAGGCATTATTTTTATCCTGAGTGTTGTTCATCGTCTCCTCGACCTCGGCCATGCTCAGTCGGCCTCGGAAAATTGCTGCACATGTGAGGTAGCGTCCCTGTCGAGGGTCACAAGCCGCCATTAGATTCTTGGCATCGAACATCTGCTGCACCATACTGGGCACCGTGATGGCCCTGTATGCCTGATTTCCTCGACTAGTCAGTGGGACGAAGCTGGGTGCGAAGAAGTGAAGTCGTGGAAAGGGAATCATGTTGACAGCCAGTTTACGCAAATCGGAGTTCAACTGTCCTGGAAACCGGAAACAGGTGGTCATGCCGCCTATTGTTGTCGAAATCAGATGGTTAAGGTCGCTGTAGGCAGGCGGAATGTTTAGCACACGTGTGCAAATGTAATGCAATGCCTCGTTGTCGAAGACAACTGTTTCGTCGCTTAGTTCAAGCAATTCGTCTATTGTGAAAATGGCATTGTAGGGCTCCACTACGACGTCGGAGACCTAAAGGAGAGATGCCGACATCGGATGAAACAATAAGACAATCATTGAAAGTCAACATATTAGGACCTATGACTGTGAAGATACATTATATATATATATATAATAATTATATAAAAATATATAATATATGATAATTATTATACATTATTTTAACAAATTGAGTCCTAGTTCTATTAAAGTAAAGTAGAGCCTTATAGTTACACCCCATTAAATGAAATAAGTAGTCGTCAGAAGACAATTGAACTTCACTCAGGCGTAAACTTCGCACTATTTGCTAATTCTAGGCGGGCTGTAGTTTTCACCCTGTCTTGGTCTTAGCATCCTCCCCAACTAAAGTGGAAACCGGATATTTCGTACTCCAGATGGCCACCTCTGTCAGTCAGTCACAGGGCGGATACTAATTTCAAGGCTAGCCAGACCTATGTCATATCACATTTTTCGTTGGATTGTTGATAAGCCTAATTCACATTTGCCAGTAAAATGGACATTACTAGTATAAACTAACTAAGTATGTCTAAAAATGTCGGCAGATAACTAATAAGTAATCTAGTCACCTTACCTCGAGGGAACATTCAAGTATCACCATTCTCAAGAGACCTAAGAAGATTCGAGTTCTTATGCTTCATTGGTGATCCTAGCATGAAATGTGATATAGGAGAGGTCTGTTTTGCCATGAACTGACAATTACCCCCATTGAACGTATAATGTAGTGGTTGCGTGTTGCCAGTTGATATGTACAACTCAGTACGGAATTCCGGAATTTATGCGGTCGAGACAGTGGTATAAACCGCTGTCTGGATGAAACGATATTTTGACATTCAAAGCCAAGAAAAACGTATTTTTATAATGAAGTCTATTCTGTTCATCTTGGTAAATCCAAATATCAGTCCTTACACCTTAAACTGTCTAGATTGGCTTTAGTACATTCGCAAAATCCTCCGATATTTTTAAAATATAAACCTATTCAGTATGCACTGGAACATGTATCGCCAGACTCGCTTAGTCTATCCTATTACTTAATAAATTCGGTTCACGAAAAGCTACAGTTTTTTAGACTGCCGTTAAAGTCTCCACTCGCAAGAAAAATGCTGCAGGCACGACAATCAAGAGTTCATTCGACTTGGAGGAATCCAGCTATTTTAGAATTCCCGGTCTAGTCCTAGAAATGCCTTTGGTGTGTAACAGACTTAAGCTTAGTATAATGCTGGATTTGGCAGAATCTCTCAAGACTTCGATAACAAATGCTCTTTTATTTAATATAACAAGTTGGGGATAAATGGTACTTAGGTTGGCCTGAACTGAACCCTATGCAAAAATGTCTTAGGGTCTTCAGATCGCGTTTTTTCAAACCTGATCGTTTCGCAACGAGCTGGAAGAAGATTGTATAATCATGGAGATAAACATGTACAAAACTTAGAAAAAAGAAAAATGTTTGATGAAGAGATTCGTTCATAATTTTCACTTTGTCCGCCTTTTGACTTGCTGACACAGGCCTTGACTCATCCTTCTTCATATCTGTCAGGGTATACTAGACAAAGGGAATTCCACCAGCATAGTCTCGTGAAACTTGCCTACAAATCTCTTCATAACACATTTTCACACGAAGTGAAAGTCAGCTATTCAATGATTTATCAAAAGATCAATCTAAAATAAGTTACTCTTCAAATAAAACGAACGATGCCATTAATACTCTTTCTGTGCAATTGCTAAGCCATTGATGGGTTGATGATTGAGGCTTACTCGGTTTGACTGGAGTGTGTAGTTTACAAATAGCAACCCTGTCCATATGATTTTCACATTTATGTGGTTTTGGTCATAATCTCAATCTCTACATCAGCAATGCCTAATTTGTACCCTCCCGATGAAAAATGCAGCTTAGGAAACGTGTCGAAAATTGAGACTTCACTTTTTTGTGGACAGCTTCAACAGCAAAAATCCATCTAACTACACATATACTTAATTTTGATCGCAATCGTATGTAGGTGGAAGTATGTGCAGGAAGGATTATTAAAGCTTTGACTAGTCTTCAGGCACCGTAAGCCAGCCTCTATTCGCTCAGCAGTTGTCACTGATCTTTTATCTGGAGGTCGGTTTTATCAAGCTTCCTAAACGCACTATTTTCGAACACTACTTAAATTATATATAATATTTAATACACTTATTTAATTTAATCTGATGAAAGACTGGTTGTTAAATTTACTCACAATCATGTGAGTAGACCTTAGGTTTCCAAAAGAGTATTCTTATTCATGCTGGGGTCGACTACAGATTCGATCTCGCCTGAACTGTTCTCATCAGCACCCCTAGCGGGACTCGAACCGTTATAGCGTATCGTATGCCTTCGATACGTCAACCATCACAACAGACAGGGCAGATATGAATATCAAAGAATGCTAGGCATTTGCCCATATCACATTCTGTGTTGGGATTGCCGATAAAACAAAGTTGTATTTGCTATAGCTATCGACTACCAATAAATCAAATATATGA